CCATTTTTCCCTAACTGAAGATCGTGTTCACCCAATTTTGCACCCAAATACAGCATCCTCAGGAAAAGAATTCTCAATCGCCCTCTATCACTTTTTAACTTTGCAATGACCGTAGTTGTGAAAAGACAAAAAGAGTTATGTGTTTCAAGATCCCCAAACTCCTACCACTCTGTACATGTTGAAGATTCTAACAAACACAAATGCAAATCGCAACTGTCGGAATTCTGTTCTCATCGGGTTGAGCCAGCGAGGCGGTGACATTGCACAGAAGTCCACGTTCTCAAGGCAGGCATGGAGTGCTTCCCTGGGGAGAAGGGAGGCCTGCTCGTTGTTACCGACGTCTGGTTTCTCATTTTCATGGCGATGGCTCTTTCGCATAAGCCGTTCCTTGCCTTAATGAATATCACTCTTCTTTTACCGGGGGTGCCTTTCTGCTCAACACCGGCCCCTCACAGTTCCCGTATCACAATTAATATTTTTGCTTTTTTGTAGGCTCTGGCCAGGTTGAACTCCCCGCCTGGTGACCCCTAGAGAGCGAGTTCACCGCCATATCCTGAACCTGGCACTATGGCGCAAGAACTATCTCATGTTACGCTTCTCACCACTAAATCTCTCCACCCTCTTCCACGAGGTCTTCCCTGGCCTTCCCCGGAGCCGAAACCCTTCTACACCACGTAGCAAACTTCTAACCTGGCTTTCCCGGCAGTGCGACCCAGCCTCAGAGACTCAGCAGCAAAGCTGCAAAGCTCCGCCCTCCGCCCGCTAGCGGCCCGACCTCTCTGCGCCTGCGCTTTCGGGATCGCGACTGGGGCGTTATTTATTCCCCGCCAACCCCGCCGGAAGCCTTCACTATTCTCCTTCCTCCGGGTCGAACTAAATTTGGGCCCTTAGGACCTATCATTTTTATCAGTCTTTAGTAAGACTTGAAACTAAAGGAAAAAATGAAATCGGTTTATCTTTGGCCCAAAGTTAATCCACGTTACGTTTGGATTTACCCCTCGTCCAAAACAATGGTCCAGTTCTATATTAGCCCCGCCCACTGCCCTCCCCCTTTCCCCTTCGCCACAGATGCTCTGGGAGAACTGGAGTCTTCGGTTCTGTGGTCAATACGTTGCTCCGGCGGGAAATACACGCCCCGGTCTACGCCTTCCCTGCGCGCCGCTCGGCCTCCGCCGTTGCTAAGCGGCCTTGGATACCTGGTCGCGGGATGCTGGGTGGTGTCAGGTGAAGATGGTGGTCATTGGGCCTCAGGTAAGAAGAGCTCCGAGTCTGATGGGCCAGCTGGGGCGTTGGGGAGGCCTGGGGGCCGGCGAGGGCGTCGCCGGACTGCCCTCGGGGCCTCTGGGCCAGTCTTATCGAAAATCGAGGTCCTTTGGTGAAACTGGGAGCGCGGATATAGGCCTGAATCCCGTTCCTTGAGTTCGATTTTCCATCGCCTCCAGCCACACCGATTTTCAGTCGCCCTGCTGAATATGAAAGAGCGTTGGAACAGGACTCGTAATAATTTAGTCTCATCGCTTTTCTCCGGGAATCCTGCTCTTAGGAATCTATCCTATGGTAAAAAATAATTTAATGGCAAAAACAAAAATTCCAGTAGTAGCTGTGATGGCAAAACACTGAAAAGATGCCGTGAAGGCGGTGGTTCAGTTCATTATGGCGTAAGATCATGCAACCACTAACCTAATCATGAAGACATTTCTTTCAGAAAACTGGAAAAAGCAGAATACAGTATTGTATATACACATTGAAAATGAGCATGTGCGTGGATGGGATGGAACATGGTGTGGGATCATGTAGTATTTTTTTTTTTTTACACCAGAAGAATAAATATGTGAAGCTAGTCAGGAAAATTCTGAAAATTTAGGGTAATAAGGGGGATTAGATCTTCAGTACCACCAGATATTATAACATATTATAAAGCTACAGTAATTAAAATAGTAGAGCTGAGCAGCAGCTTACAGGCAGATAAAATATATGGAATTAGGAATAAGATGCAAATACTGATAGAGATTTTTTTATATAGTCAAGGCGATATTGTGTTTATTATTATTTTGCAGTGATTCGATAATTTTTTTTTATTGAAAGTGGTGTTTATGTATTATTTTGCAGTGATTTGATATATGTTTTTTATTCAAGGTGGTGTTTTAAATCAGCATTGAAAGGTTGCATTGGTATCAGGTAGCTTTCTAGTAATTAAAAATATATAACAAAATTTATTTGAGGACCAAAATAAATTCCAAAAGGATCAAAATTTAAATCTTAAAAAATGACGTCCTAAAAGTAATGGAAGCATTGTTGAATGTATTCATAATTTTAGCATGGCAGAAACTCTTCTAAATATGTCGTATAATCCAGAAGCTAGAAAAGAAAAAGATTAATGCTTTTAACTCTATAAAATGTAAAACTTTCTGTATTGGAGTAAGGTAAACTGGGAATGCAAATATGGCCTGAATCTCGAACCTTGGACTGAGTTTGAGTTCCCATCGCCTCTGGAATTTTGGTGGCCTGTAAATTCCACCATACTAAACCAAAAAAGCTCGTATAAGCTAAGTCTAAAGACAGATTTGTGAAAGTATTTGTTTAATGGTCAGTTAGAAAAATATTAAACCCAATAGAAAAATGAGCAGAATACATGAACAAAGTAAGAAATGTAAGTGGCCAATATAAAAAGTGAAAGATGACCATCTCACTAATTTCAAAATGAAAATTAAAACAATAATGAGAGGTTTTGAGGGGCTTATCTTATTAGAAAAGATGAAAAATACTGATAATAGGGTTGTATGGAAATAGAAGTGTATCGTATTAGGGGAAGTAAAAATTAGTACAATTTTTTGAAAATTGTAGGCAGTTTGAAAATAATTTACCTAGCCATTCTTCAACAGGTAGGAGTTTATTCTATAAATATGGAAAGTGTACAGAAACATGTTCAAGGATGATTTATGTTTGTAGCACTGTTTTACTAGCGAAAATTTTGGCAAGAAAACCGTGTCAGTCTTTCTGTAACTAGTTAAATAAATTATGGTACATCCATTAAATGGAATGCTATGTAGCAGTTTAAAAAAATTGGTCGGTCTGTATGTACTAACATAGAAAGATGTGAAAGATACAAGGTTAGGTGAAAAAGGTGTTGTAAAATAGCACAGATAATAAGATCCTATTTTATAAATAAAACTATAAGATAATGTATGTATAAAAAGAATCCAGAAGACTATATATACCCCACAGTTAACAGTAGTTAGCAGTGAGGAATCAGGTTGGAAATGTGGCCTCCCACAAGGATTGGGTGATGGGAGTAGGCTGGTGAGAAGGCCAGGGCAAGAAACAGAAAGTCAAAGCCAGGTGTTGGCTTTAGGTTTCTGCAGCTATGATTATGCATTTTACTCTGCACCTTTCAGAATTGTAGGCATTTTATAGGTAGGGTGCAGCTCTGTACTCTTTCTCAATAAATCAGAGATAGACTATTTGCTCCTTTGGGGATTTTTTTATTTTTTATTTTTTTTGGATTACTTCCCTTTTTGCAATCCCTTCTTCTTTTTTTCATAGGTAACTATGGAGAAGGAGCTTCGGAGCACCATCCTTTTTAATACATACAAAAAGGAAGTATTTACCACCAACAATGGCTATAAATCCATGCAGAAGAGACTTCGGAGCAATTGGAAGATTCAGAGGTAAACTTGTGTATTGTTTTCCCTTCTAAGTGATAATAAGCCTTCTGATAAAACTGAAAATCTTTATTTTCTTATGTAAGACAGATTGTACAGGTGGGAGGAGCTCAATTTAAAAGTCATTCAGAAGTAAATAAATTATTATTAAAGCATCTCTTTTGAAAACTGGAAATTTGCATATTATTAAACTATTCCCCAAATCACAAGTGAAAAATTATTCTAATTATACATATTCAACTTTTTCAGATGTTAGTGGCTTTCTCCGTGTTGTAACGTAGGTCAGTACTTCAGTTTAGAGAAAGGAAAACTGAGACTCGGTTTGTGTGTGTGTGTGTGTGTGTGTGTGTGTGTGTGTAGCTTTTCTTAATGGGTAAGGATGTGTAATCATTATAATCAAATGGTAGAGCTGATTGAATTAGTAGTTGGAGGACTATATTCTAGCATAATTTAATAGGAAATATTTAAACAGAGATCAATGACTGGTGCAAGCCTATTGAGGGTAGTCTCACTTTGAGAGAGAGTCTGGACTGGGTTCCTCTAAATCCCTTATCTCTGGGCCTCTGTGGCCTCTGATTCCATACAGTCTGGAGGCTAAAATAACTCATAAATTGGTTTAAATTATGGATCTAACACTTGCTTTTAAAATTGTACTTGTAGCTTAAAAGATGAAATCACATCTGAGAAGTTAATTGGGGTGAAACTGTGGATTACAGCTGGGCCGAGGGAAAAATTTACTGCAGCTGAGGTAAGAAATATCCGTGAAGAAGAAATATAATGAGATGGTTAGGATTTCATGGGCTCTGAAATCCTGGATTTAAATTTCTTTACTACTTGCTAGGTTGCCTTATGGGAATCACTTCATCTCTGTCTTCATCATTGAGTTGTTATGATGATTAAATGAGATAATGCACGTAAAGTGCCGACAAGTGCAGGCTAATTAAAGATTAGCCATATTTCTTTGCCATATTTTTGCTTTGGAATAAAGGGAAATTCTGTTTAAAATTAAGCTGTTTTTAAATTTTCTTTCACTGGCTAGACAAAGAATGATACATGTAAAACCAGGAACACAAATAACAAGTGTTGGCAAAGATGTAGAGAAATTGGTACCCTTGTGCACTGTTGGTGAAAATGTAAAATGGTGCAGCCACTGTGGCAAACAGTATGGTGGTGCCTCAGAATTAAAAATAGAATCTTCATATGATCCGGCAATATATATCCAGAAGAATTGAAAGCAGGATCTTGAAGAGATATTTGTACACCCATGTTTATAGCAGTGTTATAGCAATAGCCAGAAGATGGAAGGAAGCAGCCCAGGTGTCTGCCAGCACGGACACCAGATGTGGTGTATTCATGCAGGGAGTTAACTATTTAGCCTTACAAAGGAGGGCAGTGCTGACATGTGCTACAGTGTAGATGAATATTGAGGATATTACATTCAGTGAATTAGCCAACCACAAAAAGACACACTGTATGATTCTGTTTATATGAATACCTAGAGTAGTCAAATTCATGGAGAAAATAATCTGAACAGTAGTTGCCAGGGGCTAGGGGGAGGAGGGAAATGCAGAGTTGTTGTTTAATGGATATAGAGCTTTGGTTTTGCAAGATGAAAAAGAGTTCTGTGGATTGGTTGCACGACATTGTGAAGATAGGTAATACTACTGACCTGTACACTTAAAAATGTTGAAGATGATAAACTTTTTTTGTATTATCACAATTTAAAACACAAAAAACTCAGAACACTGTAAGAGCCTTTCCCACAGATACTTGGAAGTGCCTTGGTGCTCAGGGAGAGGTGTGGGGAGAAGGGAGGTCAAGGCAGGGCGGGCCAGTGTGGTCCTTAGACTGAGGCCATCTAAGGTCTCCTGCTCTGACTTTGGGGGAGCCACGAGGAGGACATACACAGGGGAGCACGTCTGTTGTCCTTTTTTTCTCAGCCTGGTTGCAAGACCACCTCCCCAGGGAAGGGCTTGAAGAGAGATGTGACTGTTTGATCAGGTTAATGGAGAGAAAGTAAGAATTACCTTCGGGAATGTGACAGTGACCGCCTACGTACCCTACCCAGTGAGACCCTGAGGGAGATGCTTACACAGCAGGCAGTGGCCTTCAGAGGAACACTTTATTACCTGTTGGGCTTTGGACTAACACTCCAGTATAGTTTCTCCCCACCTCCCTTTTCCACCTAAGGAAGACAGAGAGAGGTAACCAGATCTCAGGAAAGTGAGAGCATCCAGAAGAGGGTCAGAGACCAGCACTTGGTGACATTTGACATTATCTGGAGACATTTTTGTTTGTCAGGAGAGAGTAGGTGCAGTGGACATGTAGTAAGTAGAAACCAGGGATGTTATTGGATGGAGTAGACCTGTGAGCTTCCTTTAGCGAAGTTTTCCACTTTTGGTTTGCTGTACAGATAGTCAACTTGGAAAATGTTCATTCATTTTGAATATTTTGGAGCTTTATGTTTAAACACAAGCTTGGAAATCCTACATAGAGTAGATTTTACATTATCTCATACATATTTATATTTAAATGCCTTATTGATTTGAAGTGTTTTATAGCTAGTTAAGGTCTTATTCATAGTATTTTGGACAAAAGTCTTTCGGGTGTATTTACAGGTGTTTTTCCTTTGCGTAGTTTGAAGTCCTGAAGAAATACCTCGACGGCGGTGGAGATATCCTTGTGATGCTAGGAGAGGGTGGGGAATCCAGATTTGACACCAATATTAATTTTCTCCTAGAAGAATATGGAATCATGGTTAATAATGGTAATTATTATTTTCATTTGGGCCTAATAGTACAATGGAAAAAGCCCTGGGCTGGGAGGGTAAATGGGCCAGCATTCGGGCCTCACCAGCAATCTGAACCTTCTGGGCCTACGCTTCTTCCATTTATAAAATGTGAGGGATTGGAACAGAGTTCCAGGTTCCTTTAAGGTCAAAGTTTTATGCATCCATAACATCAAACTTATTTCTAATCTAAAATGCGCCTTCCTCTTTTCCCTTTAAAGATGCAGTGGTTAGAAATGTATATTATAAGTATTTCCATCCTAAAGAAGCTCTGGTTTCCAATGGAGTCTTAAACAGGTGAGCATGTTGAAAGCAGAAATGTCTTTACAGATGGCACTCCTCTGTCCTGTGTGACTCTTCTCTCATTTCTTCTCATACACTCTTTTTACTGGCCGTTCTTCCTGTGTACTTTCCTTTTGTCTTATTTTATTATGTTATAATTTATTATATTACTTCTCATCCATCACGTCATATTCCTCTTTTGACACTTTACTTCACATTCACCTTTTTGTCCGAATACATTCAATTGTAAGCAACAGAAAACTCTATTCCAGTGGGATTAAACTATAAAGAGATGTTATTGATTCATGTAATTGAAAAACCCAGAAATAAGACAGGTTTTGGACATAGATTGACTGAAAATTCATGATGTCATTAGAGTCCCAATTCTATTCCTCCGTAGTTCTCTTGGCCCTGCTCTCCTGTGTGTGGGGGCTGAATATAATTTTAATAGTTCCCAAACTTATAGCCACATGCCACACCGTCTAGGGCAAGAGAGCATGCCTCGGTCCTAGCAGGAGCAGTCCTGAGATATGCTCTGTTTGAGCTAGCTCAGGCCACTGGCCCATTCTGAACCGGTCACCGAGGGCGGAGACTGCCCAGATGGCATAGCTAGGTCATATTCTCCACTCCTGCGGCTTGGGATAAAGTCAGTTTTTTTTAATCCACCAGATCCTAAAACCTAAATTGGTGACTTCAGGGAAGTGGGAAATGAGTGAATGGGGGGACAGTATCAGGTACCCTCTGAGCTTTTCCCTATATTCATAATGTTCATTCCACACTTGAACTTGCTCTGTGCCAGGCACTCTGCTGGGTCTGATGATACAGAGTCTAGAATATGGGAATAGAATGTAGGTCTAGTATATGAACCATTCCCTCAGGACTCAAGAAAGGGGAACTGATCCTTATATTTTAATGTTAACATGTACAGGCTTCCCAAAAGAGGTATAGGTGTGTGGGCGCAGCTTTATTTCATTTCGAAGAATTAAATCTTGAACAGGACTACAAATTCCTTGCGTCTAATACTTACTGTTAGTGAATGGAGTGTAAAATGCCTATATGTTTTCTGTTTACTAAATTTTAATTTTTTCTTCAAGAGAAATTAGTCGAGCTGCAGGGAAGGCCGTGCCTGGAATCATTGATGAGGAGAGCAGTGGAAACAATGCCCAGTAAGTATGTTTTCTGAGGCCTTTGTCGTTCTGAAGAGTTTTCGTTTTCAAAATGAAGAACTTTTGCCTGCAAAAGTAATTCTCACCAAAAAGCCAATCTGAACAGTTTAAAAGGAAGAAAATAGAAGCCTTGCTCTGTAAATCTATGCCGAAGTTAACAGGGTATTTAGATTTCTAGATCTCTTTTCATATATAAAAGTATAGATAGGTACCTTATCCTTTAAATGACTGGATAAAATTAGATGTATCCGAATTTGTCTAATCCGTCTCCTGTTATAGAACATTGAGGTAGTTTATAATAATTTGCTTTAATAATACCACCTACCATTTATTAAGCACTTACTATGTGACAGGCAGGTATTACCTCATTTAATCCTCTCAACAATCCTATAAGGTTATAGGCAAGATAACAGAGCTTAATTACCCAAGCTCACTTGACTAATGTCAAAACTTACTTCAAACCTACGCAGTCTGCTGCAGGGCCTGTGCTCTTAACTTCTCCATATTGTAACTATAAACAGTTTAATACTTTTAATTATAAACAAGAAAGCACAAAGGGAACATCTTTATATGTACAATTTTTGTCCACTTGTGCCAATATTTTAGTTAGATTTTTAGCATTGGAATTTCTGGGTCAGGTCTTCCAAATGTGATATATTACCAGATTGTCCTCCAGGCAGTTTGTAGCACTCAGGCCCCCTGAACACATCCCTTTTTCTTCTCCTGTCAGCACGGAGCATTCTAGTGAAAACGATACCTCTTTATGTTAACTTGCATTGCTTGGATTATTAGTGAGTCAGTTAGCTAATTGTATTTCTTCTGTGAATTTCCTGTTTACTATTTTTTGCCCATGTTTTTATTGATGGTCTGTCTTTTCTTATTCATTTATAAGACCCCTATGCATTGCAAATATTTTTCCCAGTTTACCTTTTTTTACTTTGGGGTATTTGGCCCCATAGAAGGTGAATGTTTTTATATAGTTAAAGCTTATTACAAAGCTCTAGTAATTAATGTAATTAAAACAAATTAGACCCAAAATATATATGGAATCTGGGGGTTATTAGTTTATATTAAAAGTGACATTTCAAATTATTGGGGAATGGATGGCATCATTTTGGCTAACCATTTGGAAAAATATATCCATTTTCACACCACACCCCAAAATATATTTCAGATGGATTAAAATTTTAAATATTAAAAACCATAAAAGTATTAAAAGAAAATGTAGTAAATATTTCATAATCTTAGAATAGGGAAGAGCTTTCTTCATATGAATCCAAGGGGAAACATGTAGAGCAACATAGATCAGAGTTAATATTTTGACATTCAAGAATCACAGTCTAAGTCTTGAGTTTTGTACTAGCTCATCCAGTTGGTGGAGTAAAAGAACTATGGACTTGGACTTAGAAGGAGTTAGAAGTTCCTGATTGCAAGTCCTCCTTACAGGGTGGCCCAGGGTATAGAACTCTTAGTTTCTGTTTCCATATCTGTGTAATGGGGACAAAGTTGTTGGGACACTCCAATGAGGTGATACTTGTGAAAGTGCTTTGTGAGGTATGAGGCATAGTACCTTACCTGCTGTTGCATTATTACTTCCTCTGTAATTGTGGTGAAGGGCAAGTGGCTGGTTATTTGTTTCCTGGGTCATCCGGAAGCAGCACAGCTTCCTGGCAGGCCGTGAGATTCAGATAACCAGTCCTGCTTTTGTGCTTTGAAATACGTTGGCCTATGGGAGTCTCAGGTTCTCATTTGGTCTCCTTTCTAATCATGTCCCTTTCCCTTTTTTTCATCTCCTGTAGCCACACTGACTTTGTTTCAATTTCTTCAATATACTAAGCTTGTTCTCACCTTAGGGCCTTTATATATCTGTTCCCTCTTCCAAGAATGATCTCCCAAATTTTTTGCCCAGCTAATCTTACTCATTCACATGTGGTCTGCAAAAAGGAGTAAATGAGACTTTACTGAAGAGATGGGGAAAACTAACACCGGAAGGAAATAATTTTAAACTTAAGCTAAAAAGAATTTTCTCATTGCCTAAAGGAAAAGGGAAATTAAAATATTTACAAGAGACTCCTCACGCCCGCACCCCCAAGTTTCTAACTTTATGCTCTGGTTTTAAGATTCCTGTTTTTTGTTTTCATTCTGAGAGCAATTTCTTCAAACTGCTACTTTTGCAAAGCTCCATCTTTCTTTCAGTAAAGCCTTCTGCCCTCCTGCGTGGCTTGGCCTCACCCTAGGATCTGCACCATACCGTGACCTCCACACCCTCCTATCCAGGAGCACATTGTGCAAGTTCCACTGATTCATTAAGTCTTCATTAGGACTGTGGAGAATAGAGGAGGAAGTCCAAGTCGAGTCTGTGTAGAAGGGTCCAGTGTGGGGAACATATGTGGCTCTGTTCACGTAAGCACCCAACTGGTAACATACCCTCTACTTAATGAGACCTTCGTTCTTAGAGGCAGCACCAATCACATCTATAAGGAAGAGGAAAATGCTTACTTCTAAGCCACTGTCATACAGAACAGGCTCGTGTGACTCTAGTTCAGTTCTTAGATGAGGCCCCCTCCTTCTCCTCCTCTTTATGGGCTACTTTAGTTCTTCTAGTTATAATTATTTCACATATGATTAGAAATTGTTAATATACATTTGTAGTTCTTAAAATGCTTTATTAAACTTGTAGCTAGACTATCCCAATTTTTGAGTTAACAAACCAGAGCTTAGGAGAATTTTGTTTGGTGATGAAATGCTTAAGCACTGAGATGATCTTCAAAAATTTTTAATTCATTTAAAATTTTTTTTAAATGTTTGTTTAATTTCTTACAGGGCTCTCACCTTTGTCTATCCTTTTGGTGCCACCTTGAGTGTCATGAAACCAGCAGTGGCTGTTCTGTCCACAGGCTCTGTCTGTTTCCCGCTTAACAGACCCATTCTGGCTTTCTATCACTCAAAGGTACAGCCTTTCTTAGATATGAATGGATATGTTATTTTTATTATTGAAATAGTAAAAACTACTATTTCCAGAGGGATTTCATACATTTTCTCATTGGTCTTCATAGCAGTCCTGCGAAGTAATGTATCAATTATCTACATTTTACTTATGGGGATATTTGATGGAGTCGGTGCCTAAATCTAGCTATTACCATTCTAAATCCAAAGCTTTTCCATGGTAACATGAGACTCCCTGTATTATAACTCTTAAAATAACTTTTCATCCTGCTGGTGACTACGGGTTCTTACCCTTAACGTAAATCTGTTCAGACTACAGTAAATTGCACAGAATTGTGCTGCTCTTATCTTAGTTTATCCCAGGAAGACATATCAGAAGACCGTTTATCCACTTATCTTGGAGACCCCACAAAATTTGGGGAGGGGTGGTTCCAGAGGACACAGCCCTCCTCATTATGACCTTACTTTTCCAATGCCTTTTAATTCAGGTTTTGCTGAATTCGTCCTCATTGTACCCTAAGGCATAGAATTCACCAGCCGAATGCCCAGTTTTTCTTCAGAAACCTAGATGTCTCTAGTTCCTCACAATCTTATTTTTCTTTGGGGACCTAGGTATTACCTTTCCCATATATAGAAGCTCTGACCTCTTTTTATTATGAAGTAAATAAATGTCTATGCTATGTTTGAAAGATGATATTTAGATAAAATTCATATAGCTATTATGGTAGTTATTCTCTCTCAAATAGTGGGAAATCTTGTTTTAAAATTAAAGTGTGATTAAATGATTCAAGATTTGGTTTACATAGAGTGTCAGTTTGTAAGCACAAAAGTAATTAGACACTATTTTAAGGGGCCTCTGGTAGTTGAACATTAGAACTATAATAGAACTATTAGATTTCTTAACTGTGCACAGAGATTTTACCTGGCTTAATCAGTGGATTTTTATGGAGCATCTATTGGGTACAGAATTCTGTGCTAAGTTTGGTGATTCTTCTAGAACTCATGAGGTTATCATCTGCCCATTGCCTGCCATTTAAGGCCTATTTTCTCTTCTTCAGAGGCTTTCAGTCTTGTCTTATAAATGATCTTTCACAGAGGTCGTTTGTTGCCTGTCATTCTTAAGTTTGAGAGATGAACCAGTGATCCCAGAAAGAAGGCCACTCTCTGTCCTTCTGGAAACTAGGAGCAAGGCCTGGCTAGCTCGGGGAGGAAGGAGGGGGTCTGCCTCTTTGCCCAGGGCCATTACTTTCACTAAGCCCATCATGATCCTTTCTATGTCTTTGGTTTGCTGGACTAGACGTGTTAATATGGAAGGAGCAAATTGGTCCTTGAGTAGATATACTCTTATTCAATCAGAACAAATTATAGACAGATGCTGGAAAAGGAAGTCAAAGACAGTGGCGGAATCTCTGTCAGGATAGAATAAAAGGATTGAGGGAAGATTTATAATCTATATGAAATTAACGAGGTAGAAAAAGAAGATAATAGTAAAGAAAAGAAAAAAGAAGCCTAACTGTGAGTAGTAGTGAGAAAGAAAAGCCCTTTACTGTAATTTTCTTACATGTGTGGATTCCCATCACAGCACAGTTCATTCAGTCCTGTGTTCTTTCTGTAGAATTCCACCTAATTCACTTCCTATTCTAAGCAACATCTATTTTCAATGGCTATGGTATAGCAATAGTATTACTTCTACTATGAAGCATTTCCTTTTAATGTGGTACAAGTCAAAGTTCATTTTGCAAATTTTGTTTATGGAGTTTGTGTATTTGCATCTCTTGACATCTCTGGTGTTAATTCTTTCCTATAGCCATAACTGTGCCTGTTCTCTATGTGATATTGCTAGAAAAACCGCTTTCATTTTGGATTTCTAATATTGTACTGTTTTTCTCATTACAAAAGTAGTATGTGCTCATTGTAGAAAAATTGAAAAATACAGAGAGGGAGGAAAAAAGATTGCTTCCCATTGCACTACTCCAAAGCAGTCCAGGCTGGTGTTTCAATCATTTTCTGCCACTTTTGCTTATGCTTCATTTCTGTTTATTTGCTGCACAGGCTTTAAACTAGGATAGCTGTACAAATTATGGTATCTTACCCTCCCCATGTTACTGAAACACTTTGTAATGCATAATTTTACAGTTGGAGGAGGTTCCATTTATGTTAACTATTCTTCTGTGTTTGACCATTTGGTTTATTTCTAATTTTTTCTGATTATGACTTTAAAACAGTGCAAAGAGTTTTTGTATATTTCAGACTCTTGTTGCCTGTGTGACAGTTTCAGTAACTGTGAAAAAATTTACTTCATTGAAATTTGACCACTGTTAGTAGTCATTTTTTCATTTTTATTAATCTAATAGGGAAAATACTTTGTTTTGATTTGTTTAAAATTGCTAATATTAAATCCTTTTACTAACCAGTTATTTCTGTTGTGAATTTATCATGCTTGTGGCTTAGTTTTCTGTTTGGATCTCAGTTAAATCTATTTTGGTACTTGTAAATGTCTTTAACTTTCTATAGGTTCTTTTTGGCTTATCTTTTTTTTCCTTTAAGGTTACGATCTTCATAAGATAACTAACAATGGGGAAATGCTGTAGAACCAATTCATAGTGCTTTTGTTAAAGTCAAATAGAATGTAGAAGTGTCTAAAATGAGCAGATTGGAATGTGGTTATTATCATAATTCATACTTCTAGACTGTTGAAATCCTCATGAGAATTGACACTTGTATACAAGACTGTTGCTCACTGATAAGTGTTTGGGGACTAGGATGCATGTGGTGCATTTTGGGATGAGTCTCTGACATTGCTTTGTCATTGACAGAACCAAGGTGGGAAGCTGGCAGTGCTTGGCTCGTGTCACATGTTCAGTGACCAGTATTTGGATAAAGAAGAAAACAGCAAAATCATGGTAAACTTTTTCTCTTTTTTCACATTAATGTATAATGTGTATCATTATACATTATCATTTCATATCATTTAAAAAAATACTGCTGAGTTCATTTATTTATTTAAAACCAGCTTTTTAGAGCCCATTATGTGTCAGGCACTAAGAGTACAAAGTTGAGTCAGGCATAGTCTCTACTTTGAGATGATATAGTACAATGAGAGAGAGAGCATGAGAGACAGAGAATTGAATCTAGAAGGCTGTTGGGAGCATTTCTAAGCATGGTCACTTGGAGTGGGAGCCGACCCTGGGGGAGTCATAAGGAGTAAGCCCAGCCAAGGCCTCAAGTGTAAAGCCCAGGATCTTGAACTTTCTTCGGAAAGCCACAGAGAGCCCTTGTAGGGTGTTCAGTACTCTTGGGCACAGTCACATCTGTGTTTTAGAAAGACCCCTCTGTTAGGCATATGGAAGGTGGAAAGGAGGAGGCATTAGGAGGCTGGTGGAGCCAGGCAGGGAGGGACGAGGACCCGAAGGAAGGTGGTAAAGGTGTGAATGAGGGGAGGGGCTGGTGGGTCTGAGTGATATTTGGAGGGGATTATGATAGGCTGGTCACTGTTTGATGTGGGAAATGAGATATAGGCATTGCAGTTGCTTGTAGAATAGTGTAAAGGAAACATATCTTGGATGAGAGACCATGCATACCAAAGCTGTATACATTGGTGTGATTCCCATAAGTCACTTGCCAGAGGAAGAAGCTCCTACTGAGCTTTTTCAGTAATGAAATAAAGCCCATCAGACTTGGAGAATTAGAGGCCTTTAGTACTCTGTGTTGGGAGACTGATTCAGCTCTTGTTTCTGTGGAATCCACTTGAAGTTCCAATGTCTCTAGACACATTCCAGAGGGATATAGATATATTCTTTTTAAGTTCAGACTGTCATCAGCACATTAAACGGGAATTGCTTCAGGACTGAGAAGATGTTTTAATAAATTCTGGCTTGTGATTAGAGATTAGAGTGCCCTAAGACAAATTATAAATATCCAATAATAAAAGTGACATTATAGTGAGGAAAACTTAAGTTTTCACCAAGAGAGGGGTGACTACTTTTATTCAAATCACTGGTTTAGTCTTTTTCCCTTTAAAATTTTTTTTTCTTCATTGATTTCATTTTCTATTCCTGCCTTCAGCTTTCTCAAATAACCAAGTGTCTAATTCTGGTTTATTTTTTTTAAACTCAGGATGTTGTTTTCCAGTGGCTCACAACAGAAGACATCCACCTAAACCAGATTGATGCCGAGGACCCAGAGGTAGGAGACTGTGAATCGTTAAAAACTTTTAAGTGAAAAATGGGTCCACCTTCTCAGCAGCACTTCTAATAGTTACAGAGGAATAAGTATCTCTTAATATACTTTATCTGTAAGACGGATGGAAAGAAGTGATGCTTTTTGGGGAGATGAATACCATGTTGTAAAAAATAATAAATTAGTAAAGAATACAATTAATCATAGAATTAATTGGGGTAGGAACCTCTCATTTGTGCACGCTCTCTCTATTTATATATATATGTATATAAAATAATTAGAATTTAAAGTATGCTCTCTGGCCCAAACTTTCAGAGTCAGTATCTTCAGAGAAATACTTCTTTCAGCAGTATGAAGGATATAAAAATAACTTTTTCATGAAGAAACAAAGATCATTAGAATTTAAGTTTTAAACTATAATTTTGTTGTCTTTGGGAATAATAATCCTACAGGTAATGTAATATTGATCAGATTAGAAAAATAAAACCAGCACTGGACTAAAGACCAATAACTTGCATTCTGGGTCCTTCTCCACCACTAACTCTTGGACCTTAAGGATGATCGTGAGTCCTAAATTCATAGATGCAAATTTACTTATGAAACTAAAAGGTGTAAAAAGTGCTATATATCTATGACTTTAAAAAAAATTGTGTTTATTACCTACCAGTCACTGTGTATTATATACTTCCATGTATCTCATTTAAACCTCACAACTGCCCTGGGAGCAGTTGCGAGATGGTCATATTCCCATTTTATAGATGAGGAAACATTTTTGTGAGATTATAGTGTGCTTAAATATCAAGCAAGTGCAGAGCCAGGACAATTCAAATTTCTTCTACTCCTTCTATAATTGCTTTTCTGTTTCTTAACCTCTGAAATGTCAGGAAAATGATTTCCTGGCTATGGATAGCAGGAGGCCAGTGAGGAGGCAGTCAGAAATGGCTGTTTGCCAACTGCTTCCTCCCTCAGCTGAGGACATGACCTCCCAGGGGCCGCCTTGGGTTAGGAAACAGGAGAGCCCCATGTCTAAAATATTCTCCTACATGGAAACATTAATAAAACATAAAATATTCCAGTATATGGCTATTTTGCTTGAATTCCTCCAGAAAAGTGATATAAGTCCCCAAAGTAAAAGAATTGGGGTACAGCCAGGAATTTGCTTTTCAGATCTCACAGGATCTGACTCTGAGAGGACGGATCTTTGGCAACTGCCAATCCTAGTTATTGTCGTGGGTCGAGGGACGCAGCACTAAGAGATGCTGCATCTGCTCCTGTTCTGTGTGGCCTACTTGCTCCTGCTAAGTTTCTGTCATTCCTGTTTTCTAGCTGAGGAAGCCGAAGTAAGTAAATTCTTCAAGGTACCCTCTTAGATTAATACCTGGCCAGGCCGTTATTAATGCCCACGTCAGGCTGATTCCTGAACCTGTGCCTTTTCTCTGTTGTTCACTGTCCAGCACATATGACACTGGGCTGGTACAGAAGAGAAGCGTCGATAGAAAACCAGAGGAATATGGTGGTGGTAAAGCTTTTCTCTGAAACCATGCAGTTTCGTGTGTTTTCCAGATGTGAGACCTGGTGAAAAATGTCCTCTGTATTGTAAGGCTTTGGAAAATAAAAGGCTGGATCCAGTAGCACTGCAAAGAAAGAAATTCTGAAAACCTGAACTTCCTGTGATTTCAAATCAATCTTGTTCTATCTGACTAGGTTTTAAACCCAGATAATTATAGCTCAGTTTCAAATAATATTTAATACAATAAAATGGTAGGTCAGTAAAGAGTCAAAGAAATTTACATAACAAGTTTTAACCTCAAAATCTGTTAGAAAGTCATGAAAACTAGTGGTCTGGGGAGCACTTTTATGTTTCCGTCTGGACACCCAAGGCCTTGATGGTTTTCTGAATGCGGAGTTTGTAGCAGGCTTCTGTGCAGACGCGAGTATCAGCCTCCAGACCTTTGGGATGGCCGGGCGCATCGCTGATCTCTGTGCTGTGTCCTGGGTATGTCCTGGCATAGTCCGTGCCTTTGCTTTTGCTCTCGCCTTCAACCCATGGTCACGCTAGAGAGCTGAAGCTCTAAAACAGCCAGATATACAGGGAAGAGCAGTCATTTGTTTATTTCCTCCCTTGCTTCTTGTCTACAGAAGAGTTTGAGGATCGGGGTAGTTTTTGACCTTTGGGATATAGAAAAAAGTGAGCTCGTTTATCTTGATTTCTTATTTCTGTAATGCTCAGCCATGTCTTCTCAAGTGCTGGTGCTAGAAAATGTAAACAGTATGTTGCAGGTGACTTCAGAAGACCCGATTTTTAAATTGCTACCAAGTTGGGCTTGTGAGAAGTCAAGGCTAAATACAGTCCAAAGGGCAATTAGGGATAGAGTTCTTGTTGCCAGCATACATTTATTCAAATTTAGATATATTTTTTGAATAGAGAACAAATACATTCACGTAGTTTGGAATTTAAAAGCATACGCAATGAACAGTCTTCCTTCTATCTTTCCCCAGCCACGTTGATCCCCTCTCCAGTGACAGCAATCTTAGCGGTTTCTTCTGTATTCTTCGGAGATATTTTATACATATATAAGCAAATGTGTGTGTGTGTACCCTCCAGGTCCCCCTTGTTTTACACAAATGGTACTATATAGAGCATGTGTATACACTGTCCAGCACCTTTTTGAAATTACCAATATGTCTTGGAGATATTTTCATATTTATACACAGAGCTTTTTTTGTTTGTTTGGTTGTTTTTTAAGACTGTTTTCCATTGTTTGAACTATAGCATATTTAGCCAGTCTTCTATTGATGGGCATTTAGGTTTTCCCGATCTTTCACTATTACCAACACACAGCATGTGTCATCATTAAAGGCTCTCAGCAATGCCGGAGGCATGCCTTTGGCTGGGTGAGAAGGGCTGGGATCTAGTGTCCAAGTGGAGGGGTTGTCTGTGCTGGAGTCTCTAGGGTTCGTACGTGTATCCGGAGCGAAAGCAGAGTATATGGCCCAGATGCTGGTGGGTAGCTAGGTGTTGTAGTGGGAGCTCGTGGACTTTGTTTAATGATTGCCTCTATTTTCTCACTAGTGTAGAAAATAAGGTTATCAGCTAAAACTAAGAAAAGGAAAATCATTTTAGATGGTTCAGGTGATAAAAGGAAAGTCTTGCCTAGGAGAATGGAAAAGTGGATGGACTATGGGAATATAGTTGATAGCTGAGCACCCAAGATCAGTGATCATGAAATTAAAAGCAGACCAGTCGGCACGATGGTATGTTTCTCCAGCTGTGTTCAGCTTGTGAATACCGGCATCAGTAATTGGACAGTTGGATGTAGCCAGCATTGAGGTTTAGCCAAGTGACTATTGTTCCTCTTTCAACATAAAGTGACTTATTTAAGATTTAGTTGTCAGTGATCATGAATGGTGAATGAAATCTTCTGGCAAGAGAGTATAAATATCGCACATGTAGACCTGAGATGTTGGAAACTTGACAGGTTAAATTCTCGTTTCTGCTGTGCTGAAAGGAACCCTCTTGTGGCTTTCAGATTTCGGACTACATGATGCTGCCCGACACAGCCACCCTGTCAGAGCGGCTTCGAGTGTGTCTCCAGGAGGGCGATGAGAACCCGCGGGACTTTACCACCCTCTTCGACCTGTCCATTTACCAGCTGGATACCACCTCCCTCCCCAAGGTCATCAAGTCAGTACCTGGGGTGTTCTGAGCTGCACTGCACTCTCTTCTGAGTGTTTAGTTTGAAAACATGAACCTGGGGTGGAAGTTAAGGTCACAGCAAAAGTGGTATGCATAGCATGTTCTCAGATCTGTGAGGCCAACACAGAGAGCTGGGGTACTGGGGTGGGGGTGTTGACACAGAGGAAACTTCCAGCTGTTGTTACCCTTGCTGTCTATGTTCCAGGCACTGTATCAGGCATTTGGGGTGAGTAACTTCTGATTTGCCTGGGACTTGCCTGGTTTTAGCACAAAGTCCCCTGTCCCAAGCATCCCCTCAGTAAACCAAGGTGGTTAGTCACCCTGTGAGCGCTCCACATTGTTACTTCACACTTTCAGTAGTCCGCTAAGTTACTTGCCTCATTTCCAGGACACTGAGGCTTAAAGCGGATACGGTATCTCCCTAGATGGGAGCAGGGATTTCACGCCAGGCCTGAATGACCGCCAAGCCAGGGCTCTCCCTTGTTTTATTGGCTGCTCATTGTTGTTTTTCATTCCTAATTCAGGGACAGGGACTAACAGTTTTGAGCATCTTTGCCCTGGCATATGATCTACATCAGAATAAACCAAAGGCTGAGGGTGCAGCCACAGATGATTGTCTGACTTCCTACCCATATACTTATGTTCAAGTTCAGCAAATACTTATAGAGCGCCTACTCTGCCAAGCCCTATACCTAAAGTGTGGTTTTATGGAGAAGATAGGCAAAAGCCGTGATACAAGGTTATTATAATAATGCTAAATGTGAAACAAAACTGGAGGCCTCGGACACAATGATGAAAGAGAATTTGATTCTGACTGGGGTGAGCATGGAAGGCTTTATGAAAGAGGCATTGACTGTTTGAACAAACATTTCTTAGGGTCCTCGTGTCTGCTTGGCACTATGCTAGGTGCTGTGCTTTAAAGGCTGAGGGGGATTTCAGGACATGAGTGGGGGTGTTGGGAGAAAACATTCTGCAGCAGTGTAGCTTATATGAACAAAGCCTCAGACATTCACACATGCAGGTATGTCCAGGCAAGGAAGTTTATTCCTGATGGCCTGTGGATTGCATTTAGCCTTAACCTCTAACAAGGCCAATGTGGCAGTAGTTTTAAAATTGGTCCTCTGAAGTCACCTGCAATGTACTGTTCCACATCCTCCAGCACTTGAGGAGACATGGCTGAGCATTACAGAAATAAGTCAAGACAAAGAGCCTGAAGCTCAGGGCAAAGGTTGGATTTGTGAATAGGATACTAGTAAAGACCTGTAGAGGAAGGACATGATCGAGTCTTTTCCAAAACAATTTCTTGCAGGAGTTTATACAATTAATTTTAGTAAAGAAAAAGTAGAGGCGAAACCAGTTAGGAGACTGTTACAGCAGAGCAGGAGGGTTGAAAGGTGGAGCTAGTCAGGAGTGGCTGTGATTTTGAGAGATATTTGGGGAGAAAGAATCACAAGACATGGGCCATGGGAGGCTTGATGCAGCTGAGAGACTTCTATCTTGGAGATCTGGGCAGTTGGTGATGCTGTTAACTGGCACGAAGAATGTGGGATGAGGAGGAAGAAATGTGTTCTGTTGCGGGCACTTCCAATCTCGTGGCTGTGAAGATGTGCGGGTGGAGTTACTAGTGTAGACACGAAGGGGTTTAGATACAGCAGTTAGGGAAGCCGTGTGACAGGTCGGGGATACCCAGGACAGCACTAGAGTGGGCATTGGGCTTTAGTCATTGGCTTGAGAGGCAGAAGAGGTGGGCCTGTGACAAGCTGGGGAAGAGCAGCTAGAGGAGCAGGACAGTGCCTGCGGACAGCAGTGTCCCTGGAAGCCCAGGGAGGAGGAAATGACATGGAAGCAGGGAGGTCCGGAGATGGGCCATGGGCTTTTGCAGTGCAGGGCTTTCTCAGAATTAACGAAAGATACATCAGGCTGCTCCACTAGCCAGTTACAGCCCACCAGCTCCTGCCATTTCCACCATCTCCTCTCCTGATGTGCTTCAGACCAGGCTGTGAAGACTGCTCTGCAGTGTTGAATGAGGGGTTCATTGGAACTGTCTCCTATTTTAGTGTCCGCAGAGTCAAACAGTGGATGTTTCAGAGGCTTGGATGGCTCTTTTAATTGTATTCGTCTGTCATGCCATAGCAAAGGGCAGTCGTTCCTGGCTTACAGTTTCTATATGGTGCTCTGAGGGTATTTTTATTTGTTAGCAATGTCTTTTGAATGCAGTTTCTCTTTTTGAGTAAAAATTCAATTATGTCACCTACAGGGTGTTGTTGCTCTGAAGTAACATTTGTCCACTGGTGTTTACTGATGCCCATGGGCTGTGAGGTAGGGTCAAGCGGGTGGAGTCCCTGCCGTCAGAGTTCATGGTCTGGTGGTTTGGGGACTGAGGGTTGATGAAAATGCAATGCCAGAGGTTGGGCCAGAGTGTTCTGGAAATACGTAGCTCACCCCCATTTCACAGATTCGTATTTAGTATTAGCATTTATTCTTCCCCTTTTACCGTACAGATCAGATTTCTGAATCAGGCTTTGCTTGGTTTTAAGATAAGTTTTTCCACCCATCCCCACCCCCATCAAATAAATGTTGGCTACTAGTAGGACGATTTGGGCTGGTGGCGAGCTGAGTGGAGAAAGGGAAGACTTAATGGAATTTGTATTGTTATTAACACAGGACTTGAGCACAGTCAGCTCCATCTGGGACAGAAGGCAGAAAATCAGTGCTGGGGTCGCTGAGGTCAGCACTCGGCAGCAGGGTTCTTTGTGTGTGTGCTCAGATAGTGAGACCTTTAGCTTAGAACTGTCCCTAAAGACATTCTGCTTTCTAGACAGACTGAGTCATGGGGCTTCTGGTTGATAGGGATTGGCCAGGTCTGATTTTTAATCTTGCCTTTGTCGCTTCTTAACCATGTGAACTTGGAAAGCTACACCATCTCTACATTTCTGCTCCCGCCTCCCTAAGGGATTATACTCACTTTCCAGGGTTGTTTTGAGGATTAAATGAAATAAATTTAAATGCTTAGCATAGGGACAGGCACAATACATGGCATGTAGTAGGCGCTCAAATATTATTTCTCCTCTCGCCATGGGGATCTTCTCATCGCTAGGAAAAAGTCTCCCCAAGCACCTGGGACAGTGGAGGTAGCAGTAAGATCAGCTCCTCGCCTTTCTACAAGCACAGATCTCTCTCCTTTCTGAAATCACTCATCTGTAGAAGCAGACGTGGACTTTGTCCACATCCACTGGCATGTGCTTGGTTAGCTTCACTTTGGCAGACCAGTGTGTATACACTTTAAATTGAGTGAGTGAGTGTATTTTCATTTGCCCGATTCCCAGAGTTCAGCCGGCTTACCTACTTATATATAATACAAAAGGATAAAACGAATGTTTGAGAAAATACAAGCACAAGGGAAGCCACAATCAAACAAAAGACATGTAAGATCAGCACTTGATTCCCCCTCTCCCCTAGCTGTCACCACGCTGGCTGTCCTGCCGTCCTGTGAAAATGCCTAACACCCTTTTTCCTGTTCTCCTCGCTCTTGCCTCTGCCTGGGCCGCTTCCGAAGCTAACTGCAGGACTTCCACCCCGCTGTCTCTCAGAGCTGCTCTGACAAGATGCAGTCCCTGCCCCTTCCTTGTCTCCACGTCCCTCTCCTGATTTCTTTTTCTTCCTAATGCTCATTAATACCTGGCATCTCGGGTTTAGTTTATTGTGTGTCTCTCCTCCACTAGGTCGTAAGTTCCACAAGGGCCTGTTTTGGTCTCTTTTTTCACTGTTGCTATACTCCTCGTGATGAATAAAACTTCCTGGTACATAGTATATATTCAGTAAATATTTGCTGAGTGAATAAGCATACAGAGTGTATACTGTATGGATCTGTTCAGTTGCCGGAAGGAGACTTCAGATTTGATTTCTGTTTTTTGATGCGGAAAACAAATAAGGAAATATAGTATTAAAAGAGTTACAGTATTCATTGGGTAAAAATAAAAAGCCTACTTAGGAGAAACCTGATAATGAAACTTGAAATAACTTTCCCTTTCAGTTTGCAATAAAGTTATATTGTATGGTAAAAAAAGGATCATCACATGCCCTGTAACAACACGTTTTGTGTATTTTTCTCCAAAAGTGCTGAACTCCCTGATTTGATAGACAAGAGTTACAGTTACATGTTCTTTGCGACCAATTACATGTTCTTTGCGACCAATTACATGTTCTTTGCGACCAATTACATGTTCTTTGCATAAAATCTCATCTTGATCCCCGTTGTTGTTTTTTTTTTTGTCTTATTAACACAGGGCTCACGAACAGCTAAATGTGAAACATGAACCTCTCCAGCTCATCCAACCTCAGTTTGAGACGCCGCTGCCAGCCCTTCAGCCAGCGGTGAGTAGGTGTGCTTGGGGGATCCCACGGCAGAACCTCACTGTTTGCCTTCCCTCACCAGCCGGGCCCTTCCTGTGGATCCTTCCAGATGCCATTTGTGGAACACCTCATGGAGGCATGTTTCTCTGGCTCTAAACATGCACAGTGACAACACCTTTAGCATTCTACAGGGACTTCCATTTGCTGTAGTTCCTAATGAGAAGTCAAGGGCATGGACTTTTGTGGCTGCTGAACATTTCCCATCTTGTAGGATTAGAGGGCATGTATGCGAATTCCTGGGTAAAAAGGAGGGAAAGCTTTGTCCTGCAGCTTTCCAAGCAACAGGCACTCAGATTCATAGCACAGTTCTAACAGCCTGGGGGTGAGTCATGTGTATGTAGGTGATATGTATGTTTTTCAACATTCCAGTCTAGCATTAACTCGTCTGCAAAATTATCTTATCCTACCACATTCTGGACTATTATGAGCCAATTGGCTTCATCTTGGTAGCTTGAAATTGGCCATGGTGGAAGTATTTACATCACAAAAAAAAATGACAAATGCTACATATCAGGCCTATTGTTATGTTTTGAGAGCTGATAGTTAAACATTTATCAGCATAGTGCTGGTTTATATCTTCGAATTCTGGCTTTAAATTTAGCACTTTCTACACTAACCTACATCTGCCTCCCCAATTTCTGTCCCTCAAGAGCTCATGATTAAAAGAGAAACAAGTTGTATAATCAAATGTTAACCACAAATAAACCTAACATGCCCCAAGTTTTGTGTTCTTGCTCGAGTTAATGGCACTGGTCTATCAGCCTGATCAGTTTAGTGGTGTAGTTAGGGCTGGTTCTGCTTGATTGTTTACAGTGGGCTGGTTGTCTTGCTTGATATGATCTAATGGCTTAGGGCAGGAGGAGATTACCGGCAGTTGGGTGGTTCATCCAGGGAAGGGCTGAGCTCGCCTTTCCTTTCCCTGATATCTCATCACTGTTGATACACTCTCTCATGAAAGACCTATTTCTTTGTAGGTTTTCCCTCCCAGTTTCAGGGAACTGCCACCTCCTCCACTGGAGCTGTTTGACTTAGATGAGACCTTCTCCTCTGAGAAGGCACGGCTTGCTCAGATTACCAATAAGTGTAAGTTTGGCTAAATTTTCCTGTTTTCCTTTGTGAGTTTTACTTAACTGTGAATTTCTGAGATTTTCCAGGAGAGAAAGTTTAGCATTTCTTTAGAGAGGACAAACTGTGAATGGGAGTATAAAGTTACAATTTTTATTTATTTCATGTAAATGATTATTTCTCTCGAGGACAGTTAGCTCAGTGCCGTAGAACGTGGTGCTGAGCAGAAGCTCAGGTCTCAGCTGTCATCCCTGTAGGTCCTTAGTTCCGATTCTGGCTACCACACAGCACATCTAGGTCATTGGTCATTGGAGCACTTAAATAGGAAAATTCAGTGAGGGCCAAAAGAATTATAGAGACTTCAAACTGGAAGGGATCCAAGAGAGCTGAGTGTACCCATCTTGACATGTGGATGTGGAAGTGAGCCTTCAGGCCACAAAGCTGCATGTTGAGTGGTACCCTGACTCTCTGCCCAGTGCTCTTCCCGACATTCAGTGCCTCCAGCACAGCAAATAGGCCTGCACATGTGTGCTCAGAGGCATAAAATTAACCATCCATTTTGAGGCAGTGACCCCACTCCTGGAAATCTAAGGATTCCCCACTCCTGGGAATCTATTTTTACTTAAAAAATAAAATAAAATTGGGAATAGCCTTAACGTTCACTAGCAGGGGAATGGTAGTAAACCGTGTAACATTCCATCAATGGTACAACGTGTAGTCATTATTAAAGAGGTTTACAAAGGCCCACGAGTGACACTGATAGCATTTCAGTGAGAATTTTAAGTGAAGAAAGCAAGATATAAAACTGCATGTCCAGTAGGACCCCAACTATGTGAACAACACCCATATGTGCCCAGAGACCAGAAAGGAGTATGCAAAAATGAAAATCATTCAGTGTAAAACACCTTTACTGCATCTTTTTTTCTGTGCCAGGTACTGGGGAATCAAAAAGTAGCAAGACATAGTGGTTAGTCCAGTAGGAATAACAGACCTGTGAAGGATCAGATGCTTTGACCCAACATTTCTGTTTCTAGCAATTTATGCTACAGAAATCCTTATAGAAATGCAAACCAAAAAAAGATATAGCTATAGAGATATTAACTGTAGCATTCAAAAAATTGGCAACAGTCTAATGGTCTTTGATTAGGGAGACTGGTTAAAAAAATATGAAAGTGAAACATATATTTGTTAAAAGAAAAATGTAGAGCATCAGCTTTGACATAGGACGTCCATGTTATTAAATGGTGAAGGCAACTTACAGAACTATTGTTGATCCCCTTTTTTTACACATATGTAAATACATAGGCATCTGTGGCAGTAATTACCCTAGGTGATATTGATGGGGATAGTATAATAAATGCTATTTAAAATACCCATATGCCCTTCTCATAATGGTCCTTGCTGCATTCAGAGAATGCTTATTTGATTATCTACTGGTTGCTATTCTTTGTAATGTAGGAATGTTGGATCTGGGGTTAGGATACTCAGGACCACTCCAGTATTATTCTAATTAGGAGTGTCACACTATTGTCCGAATTTGTAAAAGCAGCACATCAGAGATCTCTACAGTTTGTCATTGTTTAAGTCCTGTAATCACATTACCTTAGGAAGAGGTGAATGAACTTGAGATGTAGGAACCTGGCTGGAGATATTTAAACCACAGTAGGGTCTGTATTTGGGGAACGGCAGGGTTAAGGTTAATCTAATTGCCCCATCTGTGCTTAGGTACTGAAGAAGACCTGGAATTCTATGTCAGAAAGTGTGGTGACATTCTTGGAGTAACGAATAAACTACCAAAGGACCAACAAGACGCCAAACATATCCTTGAGCACATCTTCTTCCAAGTGGTGGAATTCAAGAAATTGAACCAGGTACAGAGCCTAGAAGGCCCACTGAAGTGGGAGCCTTTCAAGTGGCAGTATCATCCATAAACTGGGCTTTTTGCGTTTTATGCCATTCATTCGTTATGCAAGTATTTATTAAGTATCTTCTAGGTGAACAAAACACTGTACAATCCCCACACTTATGGAACTTCTATTCTAGCTAGTGGAGACAGACAGTAAACAATACACATAATATATAAGTAAATCATGTAGGACAGTAAGAAGGATCAGTGTGCCGAATGTGGCAGTATTAAATAGTCAGGGTGGGCCTCACTACAAAGCTGAGACTGGAGCAAAGACTTCAAGGTATTGAAGGATTTAGCTATGCAGATAGCTGGGGAACGAGTATCCCAGACAGCGGAAACCCCTGTGCAAAGTCCCTAAGGCTGGGCTTTGCCTGGCATGGTTGAGGAATAGCGATGCCAGTGTTTCTAGAGAGAACTGAGCAAAGGATAGAGCAGCAGGACGTGAGGTTAGCGCCTTATGTTAGAAACCATCTTTCTCTGAACTGGGGACCAAGAACTTTAAAATTATGCCTGGCCTCATTTTGTGTAACCACTGTTGGTAAATGGGCATTCATACACTACTGGTGGGAGAATACATTGGTCCAACTTTTCTGGAGATATTTTTTGTAATATCGTTCAGAACCCCTAAAAATGTATATACCTTTGACCTAGCAATTCTAATCTTCAGATTTGTCTTAATAACATCCTGAAATGTGTATAGATTTACCCTCCTGGATGCTTAGTGCGACATTGTTTTAACAGAATAAAATCTTCACCGGTAGGGAACTGGTTAAGTGCCTAGGGTGCATCCATAAGGTCAAAAATATTTAGAAAAGTGTTTAAGGACTTGGGAAGACATTCATGATTTGGTAAATGGGGTTGTGGGGGAAGGGCTATAAAACAGTACAAGGAGCCTGTTTATATATATGTATATTTAGGAAATTGGGTGCTGGTGGTGTAAGCCTCTACTGGCAGGGGCCTGACTCTGCTGAGTATTCACTATACACCTTGTATGTGCCATGTATAGTGCTAGATGTCAGGGCTGAGGCAGTGAACAAGATGAATGCAATCCTTGCTGTCTCTGTGCTACGTGTAGTGGGGGAGATGGGACTGTATGGGCAATTACAGTGCTCTGAGATAAGTGCCACAAAGGGCACCCAGAGGTGATGGCTGATATAGCTGCTCAGCACTAAAATGTGGGATGGGGGCTCAGGTAGATTCCCAATAGTACTTACCCTGGTGGCAAGGCGGGGACAGGCCCCCAAGGCCAAGGTAAGAAGTCTAGTGGGTCTTTGCATAGTCCCTTCAGTGGAATTTGCTCCCCAGTCATCATGGTGGGTGATGGGCAGTAGTCTAAAGCCCTGTCCTGGTAGTGAAAACTTGACCCTTGGGCTGGATTTGGCTTTAAAGCCAGAGATTACCTATGGGCCTCAGTTAATGATGATCCAGAATCTCTAATCAAAGTTTAAAACACTAAAGAGTTCACATTTCAGGCTTTGTACTGAAATACTGAAATTCTGTGTCTTATTCTGCCATCTAGGAACATGACATTGATACAAGTGAAACTGCATTCCAGAACAATTTCTGAGGAACGTGCTTCCTGAAGTATTTTCTGCCTCCTGATTCTCTTTGTAAACTAGTTTTCAATTGTTCCTGAACTCCTTTATCAAAATTGTCTGTACGCTCTTCTATGAGCTGTGGGAAGGTTTTTTTATATCTTCTGTAGGGCCCAGATAGGTTTAACATTTCTAACTTAGAGGATCCTTATGTAAGATGTGTTCCATTTTTTTAAAATTAAATCTAATTGAATCTGTATTTTTATAATTTATGAAACAGTCTTTCATTGAAGTCTTTTCATTCAATTCCAGATCTGTATTTGAGTCTCTTATCAAAGGCGTAAGTAACTCTCAAGCTTGTGAATACTATATCGCTTTTAGACTAGTTCAAAAGAATACAAAACAAGTTTAACCCACACAGTCTGTTTGCCCCACTGTACCTAATGAAAAAAATTAAATAGTGGCTAGATACCTTCCATAGATCACTCACTCCTTCATCCCCTAGCTGTCCACCGGACACAACCATTTGGAGGCTTTTATCTCCACCCACACTTTGCACCCCCTCCCCCCAGCTCCCGAGGCACTGAGTTCTGTCATCATTTTGGGTTGTAATGCAGGGCAAAATGTGATCATCTGTCCAAGAGATTATACCTGTTTGAATGTGGCGGCTTATGTGGAAATGCACAGCAGAGTACTGGATGTGCTGGGAACCGGCTTTGGGGAACCCTGAAAGCCAGACGATTGCAGAGCCGCCGCTGGGTGTAAGGGATGTGGTGCAGTGGAAATAGGTTGGCAGGTGGCTTCTATAAAGATGGAACTGTGGGAAGGAAGGCCGTTTAAGGGGAGAGTGTGATATAACCCCAAGGGGAAGTAATGAGGATGTGGACTGATGTGCTGTTACAGGAAAGGTGGCATTTTGAAATAGATTTGGTCTGGGGGTTGAAGGTCAGCTTGGCATGAATTTGATCCTGACTGCTTGGTGGTGGAGCTACTGGCAGAGAGGGATTCTGAAGGATGAGCTGTTCTGGAGCATAAGAATCCAACTGAGACGATGACAATTCATACAAGTGGAAATAACCAGTAAATAGCTGGAAATCCCTAAGGCTTAGAAAAGATGTCTGGTTTTAATATCCGAGTTGTTCACATGGAATTGGTCATTGAAGTCATGAGAACAGTCTGTCAAAGAAGTAACATTTTTGGAAATTTAAAACCTTGGGAAAAAAGGCTTACGTCACATCCTGAATTTCAAATAATTTATCTTAAAGCTCTGTTTATAGGCTCCCATTTTCTCTCACACTCCAGCCCTAGTGTAGGGCTTATTCAGAGTAGTCAGGCCACAGCAGTGTTGTGGAAGGGGGAGGCATTTTTGCTCTGAGGGCAAAATCTGGGGGCCAGGCGAGAGACAAGCAGCTATAAAGCAACAAGGGAGCGTTGTGGCAATGTTGTATTTGCAACACATTCCAAAAAAGTACTCAGTAATTATTACCTCCTGACCCATATACTCTTCTCTTACACTGTGGGTTTGATACTTCTGCCATTGAGAGGTAAGGTCTTAAATTCTCTCCCTCTTCATCTGGTACTATGGTGAAAGTGACACACACTGTGTTTTTGAAACTCGGTCATAAAAGGCTATATAGCCTCTGCCTGGTTCTCCTGGGACACTCACCTTTAGAGCCACAAGCCTCCATGCCAGAAGTCTGAGGCCACGTGGATAGACTCTGTAGATAGGCCATGTATAGGTGTTCTGGCCAATAGCCAGAGGTCTCAATCCCTGCTAACCATGTGAGTGAAGATGCCTCCAAATGATGCCTACCTCCAGCATCGCCTCTCCCTAGCCTTTGATTTGTCCTAACTGAGGCCCTGGACATTAAGGAGCAGAAAGAGATAAGCTGTCCCTGCTGACCTTTCTAAATTTCTGACCACAGATGGAATCCACAGACATAATAAAATGGTAGTTTTAAGCTATTAATTTGGAGTAATTTATTATGTGGCAGTAGATTACTAGATCATGTACCTACAATTTTAGAAGGAACTCTTTGGATCTATCTGAATCTAATCCAAAACTTCACGTTACAAAGGGGACACAGAGGCCTAAGGAGACCTAGGGGCAGGGGAGCACTGGCAGCCTGCCTACTGACCTGGAGCTTCTCCCAACACTTGACTGGAGAATATGCCTTGGAGGGGTGAGGCCTGCCTGGCCATGGGTCATCTGGCTTTTGCTATGGATAACTTGTGGCAAGAATGTATGTTCTTCCCCACTTTCTTATGAAAAATTGAAATAAAAGTGGAAAGAATAGTACAATACCCAGTACTTAGTTTCAAAAATTAACATACTGCCCACATATGCTTTATGTATGTATAATTTTTCTTAGTGAATACTTGAAATTAAATCAGATATTATAACACTCCAACCCCTTTATATATAGTTCATTATGTAACTACAATATACCATTATTACATTTAATATTTAATGCTTATTCAAATATCTTCCAATTGTCCCAAAAATATTTTATAGATGTTTTTTCCAAGCTGGGATCCAGTCATGGTTCACACATTGGATGACTCTTTTATTCTCTTTAAATCCAAAACACAGTCAGGAATTCCTACCCTTTTCATTTCAGTTTTTTTCTTAAATGACATTGACTTTTTGATGAGACTATACTGGTGCCCCACCTTCTGGATTTATCAATAATTTCATCATGGTGTCATTAACTTATTCCTTTATCTCCTTTACTTCTAGCAAACTGGAAGTTTGAATTAAACATTTTTGTCAAGAATATTTCATAGGTGATGCTGTGTATGATGTCAGATTGCACCTCCATCAGTGAAATTAAGTTTAATCAACTGGTTAAGGTATTGAGCAGGGGTGTTTTTAAATTCAAGCATGCACAACAAAAACGGCCTTTTATCCATTTGCCATTCATCTATGTGCATGAACTTTCTGGCACATAAGCCCCTTGAGAAGAAAAAGTTAACTGACTTGAATAAATGTTTCAATTTTTCTTTAAAAAGAAAAAAACAAAAAAAACCCCCAAAAGTGATAGTACCAGTCTTAGAAGGTAACAGCATAACAATAACGTGGAGATTTTATTTGTTGAAGTAAAATACATCTCTGATCAGGGAAACATTAGTGTCAAAAGGAAGAGGAGATTCACAGTGAGAATGGGGAGATACGTGTAGGTGACAAGTGTCTTTCCTCTCCCCAAAAGGAAGGAGGAAATTTGTGGTATCTTAATATTCACAGATCTCCTTGGCTTTTGCCAAGTTACTTTTTATTTATAAAACCGAATATAAGAGGTTTTTAAACTCTGTTCCCTAAAAGATCCTAGAGCACTAAATATGCTTTAAACGAAATTTAAATAAAATTAAAAAAAATAATAAAATTTAGGTAATACCTGAAAATGAAACTAAAGGATATTGAAGAGAAACAATTTCACTCTCTTCAGGCATTTAGTTCCCCATTCTGCAACCAAAGTTATCAACTTTTTCCGCTGCTTTTAAGAGACAGGAAGAAATATACACTTAAAAAAACATCTTGCTTATACCAAATTTTAACATGAAGCCTAGTAATGTTTCATCCTAGGGCTGCGCTTTGGCAGCCCACAGTCTAACTGGGGAGAGAAACCTCGTTAAGAGTCACAAACTGACAAATAGCATGAAGGAAACTTACAGTGTTAGGAGCTTGTCCAGGGCTGCTGACCCACACGGGGAGTCATCAGGGATGGCTCCAGGCAGAATAGGGTCTACAGGGCTCTGGGCCGGGGGTGACTACTGACCGTGGACCTCCGTGACCACCATAACGTCAGAAGCCGGTGATGTACCCGCCCTGCTCCCTCTCACCCCCTGGGCCTTTCTTCCTCCACATGACCCAGAATGGTGGGCATCAGGGGAGGCCTCCCAGCGCAGCGACGACGGCTCCGAGGGCGTGGAGCTGACTGGATCCACGGGTGAGGCAGCAGTGCAGGCCAAGGCTGCGGGAACCCCAGGCTCCAAGCAGAACCTCCTGCTGACGTCAGACGGCAAGGAGACTCCCATGATGGCCCACGCGATGCCCGAGTCTGAGCGCGCCTCTGTAGTTGTGAAGAGGAAATTTCAGGATTTTCATTAAAAGCTAATCAGCTTTTCCGTTCTGCTTCTATAAACGCACTTGCTGCATGCGAGAGCTCACTGCAGAGCTCTTTTGCATCCTGTCCTACTCACCTTTTGCTCAACAAAAAGAACTGTTTGTACTGTTTGTACCCCTAGCAGCTCCCGCTTTCTGTAACAATTTGTATACGTTGGCAACCCGTGAGGACTCCGGGCCTTACCAATGTTACTACTTGTAGTCTCCATAACAGCTCCAGCCGTTTGTAACGGTTTGAGTTCAGATTGATCAGTTAGCCCAGATCTTCAGAGCACTAACTTCCTTGGGACCAGGTGTAATAAACCTGAGTTCACCTTTCTTTCCGAGTTGCTACTTGGCGTTTCATTAGATTGGTTTGGGATTTTTCCACAACAATTTTGGAGGCCCCAGTGAGATTCTAACCATGTCGGCCCCTTGAGCCAGTGGACTGGTGGCTCGGCCTGGCCGAGGCGTAGGGGAGCCGAGATGACTGAGGAGGTGTGTCACCTGACGAGTATTCCAGGTTCTCTTTTGGGTCGGTGCCCCAACTCCTAGTGAGGCTGAGTCACCAACCGGACTCATAGGAGGAAAGGACCAACTCACCAGAAATGGCTGCAGAAGGAAGAGATGGTACCAAGGTAAGATCAAAGGGAATAAGCGAGCTGAGTAGGGTCCTGGGACAGCCCCCATTCAGGTCCCCTCTGTCAGAGGGAAGAGGAACTGGATGCAGCATCCTAGTCTTCAAGGGAACCTGTTGTGTGATCCAGGTTCAACAAGAGTCTCTACAGGGCCAGAGACGAGTCTCCCCAGTGGGGGAGGTGTCAGGTTGAGACACGCACCCACTAGTTGGGAACCTGTCACGTGATCTGGGTTGTACTGGTGGGGGAGGGAATGTTTTAACCTGATGTATGATTTTGTGAGTGAATGAGCAGCCTGAGCGGCTTGAGCAGTCAGGTCCGAGTTTGTAGCTCTATGGCTGGGCACCCTTAAGGTACCCTAAAGGCCTCGGAGTTTGTTTGAGCTCACTCTGCGTGTCCATGGTGAACGGCATCCGGACCAGGGTGGCATCGGATTAGTGTTCAATCGCAAGTCACAAAGCTGAGTCCACTACGGTTAAGTGTCACCTAAGCTCCCTGCAAAGGGACATGGCCAGATGAGCACCTGAATGGTCTCTTTGGAGGGGGCACCCACCCTTGTTTGTCTTTGATTCGCCATCACAGGATGGGAAGAGTTTGGTCAACACTAAGAAAAGGGGGGATCTCCATCACCCTCTGGAGGGCAACCAAGAGCCCTCCACAAGTTAGCCACGAAGCGAGAGTTGACCCCAATCTGCGGTTCTGTAGGCGAGCCTCATACGGCTTAAGGTGGTGTCACTGGATCTCAGTGAGGAGTCTACTCCAGTGATCCGGGTTGGGTGTATATACCGACCCACCAGTGCTAAGAAGCACCTGAAATTCCCATGAGGGAAGTAGCCGGAGACAGGTGAAGCGAGTGGTGTCCCCTCCAAATTTCCCCGACCCTTTCCCCCACCCCTCCTTGTGGCGTGACAGTTGTCTGTCACAGGAGGTACGAGAGGTACTCTTGAAATATATGTTGGAAAGGAAACTAGGAAAGTGTCTTGGTAACAGAAGGTATAAGGTCTGGAGACTCATTCTGAAGGAAACTGAAGGAAAGGTATTTGCCTCAGAGGTAGTTATTACTGAACGAGTGAAGAGAGGCAAACTGAGGGAATAAAGAAAGGTGAAAGAAGGTTCGTGAAGGGAAAAATCCTGAGAGGAAATTTCGTGTGAAATAAAGTTGGTACAAGGATGGAAATTTAAGTGTCAAAAGTAAGCCGATGCAAAAGTAGAACTGTGTTTAATGTTTCTTAGACTGTTGGTCTGACACTATTGTTTTGAAAAGGTTTTTTGAGTAGAAAACTGGGATTCTGTATTTCATCAAAATTAATTTCAGTGTTTTGTGCTGCCTTAACCAGGTTTCTAGGACTTTAGAGAATATACTAATGCCTGCTTCTGCACCCAGTTTTCAAAGGAAGCTCCCTGCAAATATGGGGGAGAGTTCTTCTAAGCCAACTATCTTAAATTGTGTTGAAAAATTTTAAGAAGGGTTTCTCAGAGGAGTACGGGATCAAACTAACCCCGGGAAAGGTTTGTACTCTTTGTGAGCTTGAATGGCCCACCTTCAGGGTAGGATGGCCCCCGGAAGGGACCCTAGACCTCTGCACAGTGAAGGCAGTATATCGGGTAGTGCGGGGACCCCTGGGCATCCAGACCAGTTTCCATACATAGTAGACATATGGCTGCAGCTTGCTACTGTAATGCCTCCTTGGGTCCGGTTTTGCGCGAATAGGCAGGGAGAGAGCAAGGTACTAGTGGCCCAACGGGCTCGGAAAAAGAACAAAAAGGAGCCAGCAAAAATAATTCACCAAGGGCACCCTGAGGAAGAACCTATCTTCCCACCGCCGTGCATCCTAGCAGCTTGACCAGCCCCCGCACAGCCACTCTACCCACAATTGCCAGACAGCCCTCCACTATCCATGCCTTTGCCACCGCAACAGCCTGAGCAACCACCAAGCCTGAGTCCATGGTGCCTTTGTTCGGCCACACAGCCAGTGCAGCAATCTGCAGCCCTTCAGATGCCCCTCCGAGAGGCGCAAGGTCCCTTTGAGATTGGAGAAGATGGCACACTTCAGCCAGGCTGCCCTGTCTTCTACTATCAGCCATTCAGCACAACCGACCTGAGCTGGAAGCAGCACACCTCGTCCTATTCGGAGAAACCTCAGGTGATGAGTGATCTGCTCGAGTCCATCTTCCAAACTCATCAGCCTACCTGGGATGACTGCCATCAACTCCTTCTAACCCTCTTCAATACTGAAGAATGACATCAGATTCTGTCAGAATGGCGAGCATGACTTCAAGGACAAGCACCGGAGGTGTACTGGTGCCTGATGCCAGGCCCAATTGGGACTTTAATGTACCACACGGAAGAGAGTCTCTCAACAGGTACTGGCAGGCCATACTGCAAGGGGTAAAAGCTGTGGCTAGGAAGCCAACAAATATGTCAAAAATGGCAGAGGTACTCCAGAGGCCAGAGGAGTCGCCCACAGAGTTCTATGAGACTGTGTGAGGCGTTCCAGGTGTATACCCCTTTTGACCTTGAGGCACGAGAAAACCAGCATATGGTCAACATGGCATTTGTGGCCCAGTCCTTCACTGACATCTGCTGCAAGCTTCAAAAATTAGAGGGCTTTGCTGGAATGAATGCCACCCAGCTGCTGGAGGTCGAAAAAAAGGTGTTTGTAAACTACGACCAGGAGGCCCAAAAGGTAGCTGACAAACAGATGAGACAGAAGGCGTCCCTGCTGGCAGCTGCATTAGGGAACCTGGGCCTGGTACGATAGGCTACTGCTCCCCTACAGAAGAGAGGAGCCAAAAGGAGACTTCCACTATGCCGCGACCAATGTGCCTACTGCAAAGAAACTGGCCTTTGGAAGAACAAGTGCCTCCACTGCGAGAGACGCCCGAAGGGCTAGGGAAGTTAAGTCAGCATCGTAAAGGAAAATGCCAGCCTGAGCCAGCCTTCCAAGAGCTTATCGGACTGGCCAAAGAACAGTCAGACTAGGGGCGACCGGGCTCCCTGATCCTAGGCCCCCAGGAGCCTATGGTTGCAATAGAAGTAGGAGGCCAATCAATGACTTTTATGGTGGACACTGGGGCTGAATACTTTGTGGTATCTAAGCCTGTGGCTCCCCTCACGGATCGTACAGCAGCCATTGTTGGGGCCATGAGGGACCGAGTCGCCCCCTCGTTCTGTAAAGCCTGCTCATGCAAGCTAGGGAGCCACTTAGTAACTCATCAGTTCTTATACCTACCAGAGTGCCCCATTCCCCTTTTGGGTACAGACTTGCTGACAAAACTTGGAGCACACATCACCTTTACCTTAGGAAAGTCCATCCAACTCACACTGAGGGGCTAGCCTGCTTTAACGATGGATATGACTGTGTCCAGGGAAGACGAATGGCATCTTTATTCTTCGAGAGAAAAACAAATGAATCCAGCCAGTCTACTAGAAGAGTTCTCTACTGTCTGGGCAGAAAAGGGGGCCCCGGATCTAGCCAAAAATCACACAGCCATTGTGGTAGATCTGAAGCCAGGGGCCATTCCTGTCACACAAAGGCAATACCCAGTGTCACAGGAAGCATGCCTGGGATTTCGGGACCAAATCTAGTGTTTGATGCCGGAATTCTAGTTGAGTGTCAGTCACCTTGGAACACTCCACTCTTGCCAGTCAAGAAGCCTGGAGGGAACAACTACTGCCCCGTCCAGGACCTCCGTGCCATCAACAATGCAGTGATCGCTGTCTATCCAGTGGTCCCGAACCCACACAGCCTCCTGAGTCTTCTACCTGCTCAAGTGAGCTGGTTCATGTGCCCAACCCTAAAGGCACCTTCTTCAGTCTCCAGTTATCACCGGTGAGCCAACCTGTATTTGCCTTTGAATGAGAAGACCCACACACTGGGAGAAAAGCAAGCTGACCTGGACTCAACTACCACAGGGCTTTAAGAACTCACTTACCCTGTTTGGCAAAGTGTTGGCCACCGATCTGGCTGTCTTCCCTGGAGAGACTCTGAACGGTACTCTACTCCAGTATGTAGATGATTTGCTGCTGGCTAGCCCCACCCAAAGAGACTGCTGGAAAGCCACTAAAGCCTTACTGGCCCTACTCTCTACTGCGGGGTACAAGGTGTCATGGAAAAAGGCTCAGATCTGCAAACCAGAGGTCAGATACCTTGGGTTCGTCATATCGGAAGGATA